TGAACCTGAAAGACAAGGCTGAATTTGAAAGAGAATTACAAAATTTTAAACTAGAAAGACAGGTATAGGACTAATCATCTAGATTTGAAATTAGTTGTGGACTTGAACCAGTTTATCAATGTAGACTGTCAAATCAAAAAGAACCACAAAGATGAATACACCATTTGTGCAGATTCTATTTCAAAAATAATTCTTTGCACATGATGAATTTTTAAATTTTTTTGTAATTCTTAGCACGTATCTGTTAACATAGAATTAATTCCAGTTGTAATATTTGAGATGTAAATCATGCAACAGATTTGAAAGATAAAAGGCTGGATTCCATTTTACATTTATTCTGAAAACATTGAGAGTATTTATACTGCACACATCGCTGCATTTTTGGAAAACATTTTGCAGCATAAATATACTTTCGGGTAAAAGCCTACTCATAAATAAAAATATCCAGAATTTTTTCATTTTCCAATAAATTGTATTTCCGGGCAATATAATAATACCGTATTGAGTTAAAAAAAGTTGGGGGTCACCAGCTTAATTTTCGAGAAAATTATGGCTCAATTTTAGTGGATAGTGGCCATTTTGACAGTATTATAGTGCTTTTACCATAGTTTCCTATGGCACAGAAAAATTATATAGTGTTAATGATGGGGTACTTTATGTTTTCTTCAATTATTTAAATAAATTTGGGTTTTAAAAAGTGCTAAAAAATATTTTTCCTAACATTGTGCTCTATGGACTTGACTAAAAATAGCGCAAATATTAGGACAAGTTTCTCAAAATATGTCACTGTAATACACAAAATAACGCTATTTTATGATGCCATGGGACAATAGCTTCATAATTTTACATAATGAACCAATGAACATTGTCATTATGAGTAGGCTTCTACCTTAAGTGTCAGTTATCATTTCTAAACCATGGAGGGCAGAATTTTAAATGTAAATAATAACTGTTGGTGCGCTATGAATGTGCCATCTTCATGACCGGAAAGTCTCATCTACTGTGGTGAATGTGGTAAGTTTATCAGTTATATGTGTGTCTACACTTACAGAAAGACAGGGATCATGTCAGAGCCATGAAACAAAAACTGGAATTCATGTCTAGGGAGGAGAGTAGAGCCAAGGCAGATGCAGAGGAATGCAAGAAATCCATTGAAAAGGAAAAACTACATCAAAGAGAGAAGATCCAAGAACTGAAGCAGGAGATTTTGAAATTGAATTCACAGTTACATGAGGTAATCAAGATGTATATGGAAGACATCTTGTTACAGTGGTTATCACTCTGGACTAGCAATCACACTGTTATCATTACTAGTCCTTTCTGTATCATGGCATGGTACTTTACTCCTACTGCCTCTCTCTAACCAGGGTTTAACCTTTTCACCACCAGTTCCCTCTTTTCATCACAAATTCACAAAATATTTCTGTTTATAGTCTGCACTATCCTTCAGAAGATTGGGACAAAAATAGTCAAATTTTTTGAGTAAAAACTTTAAATTGATTCAAATTGTGTCTGTTGGCTCCAAAATTAGGGTTCATTTCCAGAAATATTGAAGATTACAAGAAAAAAGTGCAGAAAAATGTCTGGTGGTGAAAAGGTTAAGTAGTAACCTGGTATTGAATTGTCGTCACTTAACCCATGTAACCTACGTATGGCATCTGGGACTATGCTCACTAGGTAGTTGATGGTTTGACAAAACATATTCATTTTAACCTATTTCTTGAACATACATTGACTGATTGGTACAAAGACAGTACATGATGTTCAGCTTAAAAATCCTTTGTCTTATTACTATCATATTTGTACATTTTGTGATGATAAATTTATTATTCAAATTTATATTGGAATCATTTTAGTTGTACCAAAAACAGAAATCAGTGAGTACACTAATTTGCATATTAATACTTGATAGAGTACACACACCCAATATAAGTTATGTGACATGCTAATTGATCATTACAAATTTTATATACATGTATGTTTGATTTCTTCTAGGCACAGAACACAGGCAGATCAGAATGCTCTGTACTGAGAAATGAACTTATTAAGTAAGTTTATGTCTACAACAAAATTCTTTATTATTCTATAAATTGATGATTCATACCATTGACTACAAAAGTCTATAACCAAAAAATTCAAAACACGCGAAGCACAATCATGTCCACACGTTGATTGACACACCCTTGATTTTTGACATCCCTTGTTCTACAATTAAGGGGTTAGCATACGTTTAATGTGTGTTTTTTCAATATTTTTTTTTATTTTATTTTAAATTAAATTATGGTTATGACAGTGTCTATGACTGTGCTTTTATTCTAAACAAAAACTCCATTTTATAAGGCATATTTTGACGTTTTTTTCTATTTCAAAACATTGCCACGTGTGATTGTTTATAAACACCATCAACCAAGCACAACACTGGCATGAAAGTAATCCTAATTGACACTTGATGAAAGATCTGATTTGCATATCAATACTACAAAGTGTATGTAATTACGGTACTCATTTCGCCCAGTCTTCCGCTTTTAAACACACAGCTTATTGCTTAATTTCCGACCGCGCGGTCTTGTCCGACCGGAAACCGACAGCATTTTAATCGCTCTTTTTTTCGCTCGCTCGCTCATTGAAAACATTGACTGCTCGCCAAAACACTGATCACACATGAGTAGTCGAAACGGTGGTTTTTCAAATCTAATAGTTGCATGACACTCAATCGTCAAAGCAACTTAACTGGGACCTCTTGTTACGTGTTTTCAGTGCTTGTTCTAAATGTAATATTTTATTTTAATAAGACAGTTACGTGAAAAGGGCATAGGTAACTTCTTTCGACAGAGCAGAGAAACGAGGAAAATGTTAATGATTAATTCCAAAAATAACGATACCAAAACCACTTCGGTCCACAAGCGGT